CGCCATCGCCGGGTTTTGGAGCATACTGCGAAAATTGATAAGATTTTACATCTTTTCCGCGATGTCAAGCAGATTCCCTCCATAACGAGCGGGCGCCCCAAGTCCCACATTACCGGAATGAAGGACAAAGCTGGCCAACTCGTGAACGAGAAGCATGATATTGCAGAAGTTTTTGCGTTGTTCTACGAAGAGCTGTACGCGAGCACCAGGCCAGAGCACTCGCAGAATACATATTCTCCTGTTGGTGACAATCGAGTGCCACCGTTCACCATGGAAGAACTGAAAGAAGCGATACGCCAATTGAAGCTTCACAAAGCCGCTGACGACAATGGCGTGAGAGCAGAGCTGATTAAGATTGACTCTGAGGTCTTGCGGGATCTGCTGTTGGATACGTTCAACGAGATCCTGAACCCATCCGCAGAATTACCGAGTGGTTGGCTCCGGGCTCGCATCACAGTGCTCTACAAGAAGGGGGACTCTTCTTCACCTTCGAATTACCGCCCCATTGCCATCTTGGAAATATTATACAAACTGTTCAGTCGAATGCTATGCGAAAGGCTGAGGCCCACCATCACGAGAGAGCAATCGACAGACCAGGCGGCATATCGGAAAGGATATGGAACCATAGACCATATGTTGACAACAACGTTACTCGTGGAAGCGTGCAATGAGTTCAACACGCCGCTTTGGATCTGCTTGGTTGACTTCGAGAAGGCCTTTGATACAGTGGAACACGAGAGTCTGTGGGAAGCACTGGCAGAACAGAACGTGGGACATGAGTATATCAACTTGCTCAAGCGACTGTATGCCAAACAGTCGGCGTGCGTCACGGCAGGCACCAAGAGCAGAATGTTTGACATATATCGCGGTGTAAAGCAAGGCGATCCTATTAGTTCTTTCCTATTTGTCGTCGTCATGGAGGCGATTTTCCGGAAGCTGAAGGTGCGCTGGGCTAGCCTGAACCACAAGCGTCTTGGATCGTACTACGGCATGGTCATTGACAGCGCCGACGACCCCCTCACCAATCTCAGGTTTGCTGATGATGTGCTGATGGTGGCATCCTCTGCCAGAGACTCTTCAAGAATGCTTGTTGATCTGGAGACGGAGGCGCGCAAATACGGTCTCAGAGTGCATATGGGCAAAACAGTACTTCTGACAAACGTCAACAACAGGCCGGCCACTTTGCGGTGCGGGGGTCACAATGTGCGAGTGCTTCAACACGGCCAGTCCGAGAAATATTTGGGACGCAAGCTGTCTTTGGATTCCTATCACGAGACGGAGCTACAGTACAGGATTGGGTGTGGTTGGGCAGCATTCGCAAAACACAAGTTCACGTTCTGCAACCGGCGTATCAAGTTGCAGCACCGCATGCGGTTGTTCCAAGCATCCGTTGCGCCGTGTGTGATATATTGTTCTGGTGCATGGACGCTCACGCTGGAGCAGCAACGACAATTGCAGAGTGCGCAAAGACGGATGATCCGAATGATTCTTGGTGCACGGCGGCTCCCTGACGAAGATTGGGTAGGTTTTATCAAGCGTTCTACATCAGCAGCGTCATACCTTGCTCAAAAATACGGTGTGCGTGATTGGGTTGACGATTTCCAAGATACCAAGAGTCGTCTCCGCGATAAAATGCAATCGGCTCCTGGCGGGCGCTGGGGGACGAGGCTACTGGACTGGCACCCATGGCACCACGTACATGCCCAGAGACACGTTGGACGACAGCGAAAACGTTGGCAAGACACTTGACAGCACAAGTGAGCGGTGCGCGCGGCCCGGCGTCATGCTGGGGCAGACTCTTCTGCCCTACGGGCCCTCTCTCTCTCTCTCTCTCTCTCTCTCTCTCTCTCTTCAGCTCCACCGAAGGCTCCAGTGGCTGCTTTCGTGTGGCACCGCCGCACCCGTTCGTGTACGCCCTTCGTACGCTTCGTGGCCGCATAGGTGGGTTTCGCAGAAGGCCCCAGTGTCTGCGTTCGCATGGCACCGCTCACGCACTTGGGCACACCCCTCACATGCTTCGTGGCCCCATAGGGAGCTCAACCGAAGGCTTCAGTGGCTGCGGTTGCATGGCACCGCCGCGCCCGTGAGGGCACACCCCTCGCGCGTTTCGTGGCCCCATAGGGATCCTCACCGAGGGCCCCAGTAGGCACCGCCGCACCCGTCCGGGCACATTCCTCGCGCGTTTCGTGGCCGCAAAGGGAGCTGCACCAATGGGGATATTCACAACCGCGCTACCAACAACTGCACATGGTTGGGTTCTTTGTCAGGATAATCAGACAGGGATGGTGGCTCTGCGCGCACTAACCATATGCTCGCACCCCCGTCGTCCCTGTCAACAAACAGTACATAATGCCCGCGGGGCCCCCGAGCATGACTTTAGATTTGGCCGCAAAGGGTGCGTGCATGATTCCCAACCATCCTGTGGTGTTGGGTCCTCGTTTTGAAGAGACACCGCCCAGCGTCTCATTCCTTCCTTCCCTCCCGGTGCCCTTCCCTCCTCCCATCCTTGCACCAGCCCTTCGCGTTTCGGCACGCCCGTCGCACGCTTCGCAGCCCCAAAGGGAGCTCCACCAAAGGCCCCCCCGTGGCTGCGGTTGCATGGCACCACCAGACCCATGTCGGCGCGCCCCTCACACGCTTCGTAGCCCCGTAGGGAGTTCCACAGAAGGCCCCAATGGTTGCGTCGTTCACATGGCACCACGTCGTCCATTTCGGCACCGTCCTCGCATGTTTCACGGCCCCATGCGGAGCTCCGTCGAAGGCCCTAGTGGCTGCGTTCGCATGGCACCGCCGCGCAGTTTTCGGCATTCCCTTCACACGTTTCGTGGCCCCATAAGGAGCTCCTACAAAGGCCCCACTTGCTGCGTTCGCAATTCCCCACCGCACCCATTTAGGCATACCCCTCATTCGTGGCCCGATAGGGAGGTCCACCGAGAGCCAAGGTTGCTTCGTTCGCCTGGCACCACCGCACCCATTCCTGCAGATCCCTCACACGTTTCGAAGCCCAAGAGGAAACTCCACTGAAAGCCAAAGTTGCTGCGTTTGCATGGTGCCGCCGCACCCATGTCGATAAGTATACCCTTCGCGCTTTTCCTGGTCCTTCGCGCTTTTAGTGGTCCCATGGGGAATTTCACCGAGGGTATCATCGGCTGCTTTCGCATGGCACCACCGCGCCCATCTCGGCACAGAGCTTCACCGAAGGCTCCAGTGGCTGCGTTCGCATGGCTCCAGAGCACCTATTCCGGCATACCCTTCACACGTTTCGCGGCCCCATAGGGAACTCCACTGACGGCCAAAGCTGCTGCGTTCGCATGATGCCACCGCGCCCATGTCTGCACACCCTTCACACGGTTCGTGACCCCACAGACAACTCCACCGAAGGCCCCAACGGCTGCGTTCGCATGGCGCCACCGCGCCAATTTCGGCACACCGCTCACACGCTGCGTGGCCCCATGGGTTGCTGCGTTCGCACGGTGCCACCGCACCCCTTTCGGCACCCCCTTGATATGTTTCCTGGCCCCAGAAGGAGCTCCGTGGAAGGCCCCAGTGGCTGCGTTCGCACGACGCCACCGTGCCCATGTCGGCACACCCCCACACGTCTCGTGGCCCGATAGGGAGGTCCACCGAAGGCTTTGGTGGCTGCGTTCGAACAGCACCACCGCACCCATTCTGGGACACCCTCACACGTTCCGTGGTCCCATCGGGAGTTCTACCGATGCACCACCGCACCCAACAACCCTCACCCGTTTCGTGGCCTCATGGGGATGTTCACCGAAGGCCCCAGCGATTGCGTTCGCATGGCACCAGGACGTCGATTTCGGCACACCCTCCAAAAGTTTCGTGGCCCCACAGAGAGTGCTGCGTTCGCATGGCACCACCGCGCCCACGCCGAAATACCCCTCACACGTTTCCTCGCCCCACAGGGAGTTTTACCAAGGGCCCCAGCGGCTGCGTTCGCACTGCGCCACTGCACCCACGCCAGCACACCCTTCGCACGTTTCGTGGTCCCAATAGGGAGCTCCACCGAAGGCCTCAGCTGCTGAGCTCGCATGGCACCACCGCACCAATTTCGACACACGCACACACACACACACACATCTCACCCGTTTGTGGCCACACAGAGATCTCCACCGGAAGTGGTGCCGGCAGGGCGGAAGTCACAACAGCTCATGGTTGGGCCCTGCGCCAGGATATTTTTTGAGGAGGATGGTGAGGGGGTGTTGGCATGGCAAAGGGCAGGTAATACACCGACACCCCCGCCGTTTCTGTCAAAACCAGTGCAAAGTGGTCGCGGGGCGCCCGCGCATGCTCCAGATTTGAGGCAGTGGGGGATGGGCTCATGGGTCCGGGTTGGCTTCTTGTCGGGTGGGTGGGGATGTGTTTATTAGTAGGGAACAGTCATAATCTTTTCCCGAAGGATGTTTATTAGCAGGGAACAGTCATGTTTATGAGTAGGGAACAGTGTTTATTAGTAGGGAGCAGTAGGGAACAGTCGCTAAACCGCTCACGCCCTACAGGGTTGGTGAGATTCCACAAGGGACGCACACTTGAGAACTGCGACTCCCTCAGCGTTCCCGCGGCCTCGCCACGCACGTGCGGGCGACGCCGGTTCGGCACGCCGCTTGGGCTCGGGTGGTGAAGCTTGGCGTCAACAAGGTGAATAATCGCTATCGCGACGCGAATCCTTGGATACCGAAGGAGGGGAGGGCGCCGAAGCAGGGGGTCCGTCGCAGGAGGTCTGCGGCACGCAGGGGGGACGCAGTGAAGCCGGCAATAAGAGGCAGTGAATGGCGCTACATCTTTTTCAGCCCGGGCAGGCTTCCTCGGCGTCCCTCCAGCCGCGGCCAGAGTCGTATCTCGAGCCATCTTCAGCCCTGGCCAGGTTTTCAACCCTTGGACTTTTCAGCTCCATGTGTTATCCTTTTTCCTTTTGGCAGTTGCGAGACTAGCCGGCTGCGCGGGGTGCGGGGCGGCGGGTGAGGGCCGCGAATCGCGGAAAGGTTGGCCGGGTGCTGAGCGTCGGGGACGGCATCGCCCGTATCTACGGCTTGAAGGGGGTGAAGGCCTGCGATTCCGCGGGGGATCTGCCACCCCTTGTCTTCGTCCTCGTCCACGCAATCGCTCTCCTCGTCCACGATCGCGCCCTCGTCGTCCTAACCTCCTCTCCCGCTGGCCCTCCCGCCCCTCATCCCTCTCCCCTCCTCCTCCTCCACCACCTCCTCCTCCTCCTTCTCGTCTTCCTCCTCCTCCTCCTCTTCCTCCCTGTCCTCCCCGTGCTTCTTGTCTTTCTCCCCTTTCTCCTCTTTCTCCTCTTTCCCCTCCTCCCCCTCCTCCTCCTCCTCCTCCTCCTCCTCCTCCTCCTCCTCCTCCTCTTCCTCCTTGTCGTCCCGCTGCTCCTCCTACTGCTGCTCCAGGTCCTCCTCCTGCCGTCTCCCTCCTGCTCACCCACTTCCTTACCCTGTCTCTTCTTTCCCCCTTTCCGCTCCCCCGCTCCTGCTGCTCCTCCTGCTCTCCCTCGTCCCGTACCCCTGCCTCCTCCTCCTTCTCCTCCTCCTCCTCCTCCTCCTCCTCCTCCTCCTCCTCTCCCTCCTCTTCTCCCTCCTCCTCCTGCCCTCAGCCCGCCGCTCAGCGGTGCAGTCGGGGTTGGATGAGACGGCTGGCGTGGGCGACCTCGAAGGCCGCTTCGCAGCATTCGAAGAGCGACGCTACTGGCCAGAGCTCCCTGAAGTCGGCGGGAGAACATCAGGGGCAACGTTAGGGGGGGATACAGTGGGGGCCCATGCCAAGAAACACCCTGCTTGCCTCCAGGGTGCCCTGGGTTTCTTGGGTTTCGATGAAGGTTTCTCGTGGACTGGCCCCCACTGTATGCTCAGGGGGGATGCATCGACCCCCAAGTGCCCATTCATCGCCGATGGTGGCCGGGTGGCCCACTCCGCCCAGGAGAGTGTGCGGATCTGCCCTCGAGAGGGCCCATCGCCGATCCCTCGGCGACGCATCGCCGAGTCCATGGTGATGTGCCCCCCGTGAGCCGGCCCCCCCCTCTTGTATGAAGACCGCTCCTCTCCTCCTTCTATCCATCTATCCTGCTATCCTCTCGGTTCAGGTATTGGACACCCTGTCGGATATATCGGCGCCCGCTTCTCATCGGGCGCGAGGGTACAAAGATCTCGATCTTCTCTCTTCATCGTCACTAACTTACGGACCCCACGGTAGGTTCGACCCTCAGGTCGTTAACATCCGTCCTCACCCCCAGCTTCCCCCCCACCTTCCCCTCCAAGCGGGGCCGCCTACGATCCGATTCGGTGCGATTCGCTTCGCCGGCCAGGGCCGCGACTCCAATGCGACGCGATCCAGCTCTACTCGCGGGCACCGGCCAGGGCCGGCCGGAGGCGCGGCGCGGCGCCGCTCCGAGACAGATCCGATCCGGGACGAGTCGCTGGCGATTCGATCCGCACTCGCTCCGCTCCGATCTCGCGACCCGATCCAGCGCAGACCCGCCCAGCTTGTCGCTCGGCAGGCGCGCGCGCGCGGCGTCGCGCTGCAGCTCCAGGGCGCGCGCGGCGGGCCGAGCCGCGCGGCGCTCCCGGGCCGCCGCCGCCGCGCCCCTTGCGCGCGGCCGGCTCTGGGGGACGCCGCGCCTCAGGGGCGCCGCCCGTGCCGGCGAGCAGCTTCCCGCCCACGGGGGCGCCCGCGTGCGCAGGGCGCTCCGCTGCGGCCCAGCGCTGGCTGCGACCGACTCGCGCGTGCGCGTGCGCAGGGCGCTCCGCTGCGGCCCAGCGCTGGCTGCGACCGACTCGCGCGTGCGCCGAGCGCTCCGCGCGGACTTCTTGGATCCGCGCTGGGCCCCCCCCCCCCGGGCGTCGCCTCCAGCGCCGCCCCTGGCGCGTTCCGCGCGCCAGGGAGGGGATCCAGCGCAGATCCACGAAAGCCGCGCGGAGCGCCAAAAGTTTCTGTTCACGGCGTTTTTCCTTCCTCCAGAGTCCGCGACAAAAACGCGTCCCGAGGATGAGCCGCAGGGCCTTCTGCGTCAGGGGTCCTGCACAGGCGTCTGCGCCCGCCGCGCCACCTGCGGCGGGGTGCGCCGGTCATGCCCGTCGCGGAGGAGAGGGGGGTCCTGAGGGGATCTTTGGTCTTTTCCAGCCCGTGGCCAGTTTCTGTTTATATATCCCTGTTACGAGAGTGTATTCATCCAGGCTAAATCTGACATGTGTGGGCGCCGTGGTGAGAAGTATTCTGGGAGTAATCTTTATTTGTGATTTTGTATGGGGAGATATTCAGAATGGCGTGGAAGTGGCCGGGAGTGATTTCCCTCTCGTGAACTTGTAGGGAGAGATTTTATACCGAATTTGTCAGATCGTTTGGTTATTGCAATTATTACTTGTACATTAGGGAGAAGCCCAGAAAGCTCTCCCGCCCAACCAGGCCGAAGGCTGC